CCCCCCCCCCCCCCCCCCCCCCCCCCTGGAGTCCATTACCCTTTCCACACTCCCCTTCATCCCTCCCCCTCCATCTGCCTCCGTCCAGACAGCGCTGTCCATAATTCCATTACGCCACCTGGACTAGGTTAGCAGTCCTTTTTTATCTGATTCAAGCAGCTATCACTGACACACAAGACTGACACGGCTCTGCCTGCAGGCTGCACAGAGCAAAGCAGGGGATTGAAAGTGCTGAAAATACAAAGTCAATGCAGAGAAAGAGAACAGAGAGAGCGGAGAGAGCGTGTCTGCATTCTTTTTGCCCTTGGCTCGGATGTGCATTTTTTGTCTCTTTTGTTCTGCGCCGTGTGCCTTAACAAGATAAAGACAAAAAGAAGTGATTAGGCAAAACTCACGTAATTACGCTGAAATGTGCGAGACAGCTTCCTATTAGAGAGAAGAAAAATCTCTTATCTACCAGCCAGACAGCAGAAACGAACGGAAGTCTAACAGGTTAACGGAGCGGAATACGCCTGTGTATAAAAATGTACCGGCGTACCGTACAAGCCGTGCCACCGGCGGGAACGCAGACCAATCACACCCAGGTTTTTTAAGTTTATAATCGTTCCATTTCTCATTCATGCTCATACACGCACACTTATGCGCAGCATGTGCGTTAATAATTCATGTGACGCTAATATCTCATGTTTTACAACCGCTGAGCACGGTTTAGGGCAGCGTTTCTAAACTAGCAGCCCGTGGGCCACATGCCACTCACCGGTTGATTTCATGCCCGCTCTGCCCCACCCATCTCGGTATAAACTTGTACTGAACCCCGCCCTGCTGCTACTTCTTGCTAATAGAAGAGCTGGTGTTTGCTGCTACATTATTTAGGTCAAGCTAAAACTAACAACGGAGGGTAGAATAAAGCCAGTGATGACTTCACTGTCCTAGGAAAGTCCTTTAGTGCTGGGTTGTTGATACCAACAAATAACCTTAAACAAAGTATTGATTTGTGGAGAAAATGCCATAATCCAATTTTTCCTGGGACGGTGAAGGCATCGCTGGCTCAACTCTGTCGCTTCGTTTTCCTATGTTACCTGAGTCAGCTAATCCAATGAAGAGCGAGGACGAGTCGTTCGAGTGCACTCGCCCATGTGGTACATATTACCGTCTTGGACTGACAATGGAAACTATAGCTTTTTATTTGCTCTTTACTTCCTTGAGATAACATTACGTCAACCTCACCATACTTTGAACCACACCTCATTTTAAGAACAGCACGAGCGACGATGCTTGGATTTGGCGACTGTGTTTGCTGGGTTAAACTAGCAACTGCTCTTGCTTCATCGCTCGGCGTCACTCGTTTCTGGGTGTCAGATGAGAGGTCAGAGGTCGAAGACGGGTCCGTCATAAGAAAGAACAAAACGCTGTGTGTCCCATCTTTTGCAAGAGAAAATATCAAAAGTCTGTTTTCTCATTTCTGGGAGTTGAAGTGAAAAGTGCAACCATATGCTCAGCACTGCGTCTGCAGAAAGGATTTCCCATAATTTGAAACAGGACCCGTATTTAGGAAATATAAAAATGTATTCATAAAGCAAGTGCAGTTTGAAGGGCTGTGGCCCTGCGTATTGTTTTTCTCTATTTCTTTCTCTCCCCGCTCTGAGTTTATCTGTCGTGACATTGTTTAGAAAGCCATAATTTATTTATGCTCCATTGTTCAAATGCACTGATGTTTTTATTTGGGAGAATGAATGACACGAATCGTGCCGTCCTCCTCCTTCAGCTGCTGACCACAGTGTGACTCTGTCTGTTTCTCATTCTGTCCAGATTGCTTGGCCTGCGACTCCTTCCAAGAGGGACGAGTGCAAGTGGGCAGGAAAGGACTATGTGGTAAGTCCATTTTCATTGTGCCGTCCAAGTTTGGGACACTACCTCCTCCTACTGCCAGCAAGTGTTTCGGTCGAGTAAACCTGAGTACAGTCCCTTGTCCCTGATGTATGAGTCCAAGTCATTGGAGTACGATTTCAGATACGTTTCAAAACCTATTCCTGGGCCTCAATGTCCTTCCTCAAACTAAGGCCCGGGGACCCGATGCGGCCCGTTCAGCATTTTAGCCTTTATGCATGACTTTTACATGTAATTTATCTTAGTTCACAAAAGGGCTCCATCTATCTGCTTCTGACCCCACGCCACCCTGTTCAAGTTTAGGAAAATTGTGGACCGCGAGTCAAACGGTTAGCCCACGCCTGCTCTAGCGTAACTTGAAAACTTTCAGTGATCAAAACGTTTTTTTAAAAAAGCCCAAATATTTGATCTTGAATCTTCAACCCACTCAATTTCTGGGCAATATTTATTCAAGGCGCTCCTGTATTTTTTTTACCCAGAACAGTAAGTTGTTTCTTATCGAATACCCTAGCCTCCACTGAAGGAAATAATCATTAAATTGTAAAAATAAAAAATAAAAAATAAATCCTCAGGATAGATCAAAGTGATAAAGAAATGTTTATTGGAATTAAAAATGTTGAAAAACATTTTGGGTAGTTGTTCAAGTCGCTAAAGATTTGTTGTTTTTCATTAAATCAGTGAAAGTCAGTGAAAAAAAAAGAAAAAATGAGTCTGAAGTTTGTGTCAAGTCCGTAACCCTCAACTCAAGTCCTACAACACCTCCTGGATCTGACTTAAACCTGTCCTGAAGCCAGTTCATCTGTATGGACTTATTTTAAACACTTTCAGAATAAAAGCTTATTTAAACCAGATTGAATTCAATCCCATTTTAAGGCCCGTTTATACAGTCTAGATCTGGTTCTGCACATGTCTGATACGGATCAGTCTCTGGAGCGTTCATGCAGCTGGGATCCCACCTGGGTCGGATAAGCTGTTTTTTTTTTTTTTAAATGATATGGATGGGGTTTAGGCTGGATTCTGGATTTAGATCCCTGGTCTAGATCTCATCCGGATTCATTCTCTCGGTCCAGCAGCCCTAATCGGTGGCTCCCAGTTGTGTTGGTCCTGCTGTGTACTGATAGCACATTTCTGTCTCGAGTTCTGTTTGAGAACCGTTGTAAAAAATACGTTTTTAAAAATTCACAACTTGGAAACAACCGGCTGCAGATTTGACACAGGAAATGAGCGAAGCCCTGCAGAAAGGTTAAACAATGATAGTGATAATGTCCTGCCTCACCTCCATCTGACTGCTCTCTCCGCGGACCATCCCCCCACAGACGCCCACATCTGGTCACACTGTACAACAGATGTTGGGTCACATTTACACGGCGTTTCAACAGCGCAGGAGAACAATGATGCATGGCCTCGGCGGTTGTTTGTCCGTGTGATGTACAGTGTGATGTCGGGAGGATGTTTATGCATGAGAACCGCACATGTGTGTGCGCGCGCGCGCGCGCGTATTGACGTGGCAGCTTATTGTTTGACTTCTCCTTATCTTGGCACGCCATGTTAGCTCACATGTGCGACTCTGCACAGGTCTGCTGAGCACACGCCGTAGCCAACACCAGCTTTGTTTGTGCGCCTCCGCTGGTGTGTGTTTGTGCGCCTTATCATGGTGCGGCTGTTTGGAGAGGCCCTCTTTGTGCAGTATCTGATCTTAATTTCATGGCTGGATGAATCTCAAGTGCAGCGGCTGCAGGGTTGAGGGATTATCCAGAATTAAAAAGTGTGGGTTTTTTTTTTTTATTAAATCAGCGAGATTCCACAGGACTCCACCAGCACCGACACTACACCTCGGCTCTTTAGCACAGGGGAGAAAAACGAGTGTGTGCTAGGAGTACAAAATGACACAAAATACAGTGATGAAGTATTCACGTGCTGTTAAAAATGTTTACCCTTGAAAATGAGGCGATGAGGAAAGAGATGAAGTGCAACATGGGAGGCCTTGATTGGGGCATTACTGAGGTATTCCGAGCTCCCAGAACGATGTGTTTGCCCCCCCCCCCAAACCCCCCCACCCCCGTTTTTATGGCGGGCGC